AATCTCTGGTACCGAGGTCACTGAGGTGGTTAAAAAGCTTCTCGGTGGCAAGGCGCCAGGGGTGGATGAGATTCGCCCGGAGTTCCTTAAGGCTCTGGATGTTGTGGGGTTGCATTGGTTGACGCGACTCTACAATATCGAGTGGACATTGGGGGCAGTTCCCCTGGATTGGCAGACCGGGGTGGTCCCCCTATTTAAAAAGGGGGACTGCAGAGTGTGTTCCAATTATAGGGGGATCACACTTCTGAGCCTCCCTGGTAAGGTCTATTCGGGGTTTCTGGAGAGGAGGGTCCATCAGATAGTCGGATCTCGTATTCAGGAAGAGCAGTGTGGTTTTTGTCCTGGTCGTGTAACAGCGGACCAGCTCTACACCCTCAGCAGGGTCCTGGAGTGTGCATGGGAGTTCGCCCAACCAGTCTACATGTGTTTTGTGGACTTGGAGAAGGCGTTCGACCGTGTCCCTCGAGGACTTCTGTGGGGGGTACTCCGGGAGTATGGGGTACCAGGCCCGTTGACAAGGGCTGTTAGGTCCCTGTATGACCGGTGCCAGAGTTTGGTCCGCATTGCCGGTAGTAAGTCGGACTCGTTTCCGGTGAGAGTTGGACTCCGCCAAGGTTGCCCTTTGTCACMSWYTCTGTTCATAACTTTTATGGACAGAATTTCTAGGTGCAGCGGATTCTTTTTTATGACCTTAGGATCACATCTCTGCTTTTTGCGGATGATGTAGTCCTGTTGACTTCATCAGATCGTGATCTCCAGCTCTCACTGGAGCGGTTCGCAGCCGAGTGTGAAGCGGCCGGGATGAGGATCAGTGCCTCCAAATCCAAGGACCATGGCCTTGAGTCGGAAACCAGCAGGGTGCTTTCTCTGGGTCAGGGAGGAGGTCCTGCCCCACGTGGAGGAGTTTAAGTATCGCGGGGTCTTGTTCACGAAGGAGGGAAGAATGAAGCGGGAAATCGACAGGCGGATTGGTGCTGTCTGCAGTGATGCGGGCACTGTACCGGTCTGTCATGGTGAAGCGATTTACCAGTCAATCTACATTTCTACCCTCATCTATGGTCATGAGCTTTGGGTAGTGACTGAAAGAACGAGATCGCAGATACAAGCGGATGAAATGAGTTTCCTCTGCAGGGTGTCTGGGCTCTCCCTTAGAGATAGGGTGAGAAGCTCAGTCATCCGGGAGGGACTCAGAGTAGAGCCGCTGCTCCTCCACGTCGAGAGGAGACAGTTGAGGTGGCTTGGGCATCTGGTTAGGATGCCTCCTGGACGCATCCCTGGTGAGGTGTTCCAGGCATGTCCCACTTTGAGGAGACCCAGAGGAAGACCCAGGACACGCTGGTGGAACTATGTTTCTCGGCTGGCCTGGAAACACCTTGGGATTCCCCTGGATGAGCTGGCCCAAGTGGCTGGGGAGAGGGAAGTCTGGGTCTCTTTGCTTAGGCTGCTGCCCCTGCGACCCGACCCCAGATAAGCGGCACAGAAAGAGACACTGTCTTTCTTTCCTCAAGGAAAAAATAATGTGTGCACATGTTAAAGTTGTTTAATTATTTAAACAGGAGTGTCAACAGGTGGAGGTGCACAGTCTCCTTGCAGGATTAATCCAACAGAATCATTCACCCCTCTTTAAGAGCCATGATGTTAGGGTTGGTGGGTTTGGATAAGACACTAGAATTAGGATTATTTGCTATAATTTCTAACTGTTCATCATCAGTGGCAGACAAACTGCTGCTCAGTAAAGAATTGAGTTAGAAGCTGCTTCCAAGTGGGTAAATTTATATTACAGCTGTAAGTCAGTTGTCCCTATATGAGGCATGAACACAGACAAACACTTAATTTATTATTACGTACATGGAAACAGAAATTTTCTGTACACAAAATGATATTATTAGTGGTTTGAGGTTCGGGGTTTTGGCTTCAAACACTGTCTCCCAGTTGACATTTTGGTTTGTCCCTGCAGCAGAAGTAAAGATAATTTAAAATGTATTGTTCTGACCTTGGCTGCATGAATAACTGGTGCACTTAATGCATCAGAGCCCTCATTTATTATATTAAACATATGGTCAAAATATCTGTTTGTACGGCTGCAATGAAGAAATTCCTTCTGTTCTTACAGTGAAAACCACTTGAACTCTGGGTTTGCTTAGGCATGCACTGCAACCTCACACTTATATATAATATAACAATATAAATGTTAGAAGTAAGTGGTGCTGAAACTAAACTGGGATGAGTTTTGACCTCTCTGAAATATGACAGCATGTTATTTAACCTCATTTGTCTGCTTGAAGTATGATGGCGTTGTTGTAAGGGCTTAGGTTTAATTTTCATTTTTCATTTTATTTATTTTCTGAGTTTGCCTTATCTGCTTTAAAATCATAAATGGGCTGGAGTCTTTCTCAGTTGTAACTAAGAAACAAATAACTATGTAATTAGTAAATCTTTTTTGAAATTACCAGTAAACTGTGTTTTCTCATGCATCAACCACTTATCTTCTGAACAAATGAAATTAGATGAGTTTTAAAAAACAACAAATATTAAAATGTCTGACATTAGGTATAAGGCAATATATGTATAAATGAATTTTAAAAACGCACACATGGATCTGTTACTGAAATAAACATATTTATTCCATCAGCAACACACAGGAGACCCCTCCTAAAATATTAAGAGTTAAAAATATAAATATGTATTTTATTTGCTATAAAAAAGCAGTAAGTCTAGTACCCCTGAATAAAAAAGCTAGTTTAAAACTAATGTCCACAACATTGAGATGCAGAGTCTCAGAAAGTTAATATAAAAATAATATAAAACAAAAGTAGTCCAACTGATCAGAATATGCTTCTCAAACTTTAGTATTGTGATTTTTGTCAAATAACCTAAAAACAATACTGCTGGAGAGTTGTTATGTTATGTAACAAATCTCCTGTATTTCTGTTCTGGCATTTGGTTTTGGTGCCACCCCAGGATTTTCAGTATCATATCCCCAAAATGGAAAAAGAAAAGAAATTTCTGGTAGCTGACGGTCATCAGCAAATATACGAGCTGTAGCTCTACAGACAGAATATTATTTAAAAGCTGTTTCACATCAGTCTCTACCAGCAGATGGTGCAACAGTCCATCACACAGAAACATTTGGCCTGAAACACATAAGATGATAAAAAAAGTATCAAGAAACTAAAGAAGAGCAGCTGGTGCAAAAACCCTCCTGCACAGGCAACATTCTGAACTTTACAAAAAGGAAAAAGCACAAATGTAGATAACCGTATGTGTTAAAATGATTTATTTACTAACTGATGCACTTGAACTGGACCAGTTTCACAAAGCAGGCTCACTGATGGAAGCTACTGTCCCCAAAAGCATTTCAATCAAATGAAGTTATGAAGCATTTTACTCCAAAATGTTTGCATATGTTCAGATATTGACACTACAACTAACTCTCTGTCCCAACAAGTATACTGAAGTCAATTTAAAAATTAATTAGGAAAAGAATTCTTCATTAATCTAAAGAAGTCACCAAACATGGCCTCTGTGAGGAAAAACACACGCTTGCAGACCCAGAATAAATGCTCACTGAAGCTAATTCTATCATGCTTTAGTTTTGTACTCATTATTATGGGATGTACAGTCTTGTTTTCATCCCCTCCAAATGAGTCTCTCAATGCTAAAACAAAACAAAAAGTCAGATCAATAAAAAATAATGTATGCAGGTCTCTAAATGAAACTGAAAAGCTTGGAGCAGACTTCTCACTGCAGCAGGAAGACTTTTTGGACATGATGATAGAAAACTGGTAAAAACTGAGATTATCTGACTGAGTCAATTTGCTTTTTTTTTTTTTTTTTTTTTTTTTTTTGCTTCTGGATATTTTCGTTTGAAAAAGTTCATGGCAGAAGAATAAATAGGGCCCACATGGGCGAATCGGAGCATAATTCGGTTCTGAAATGCCTTTCTGAGCTGCAGAACAATATTCAAGACTTTTTTTTGCTTCCAGCTCAGAAAGATATTTTCAGCCCTCCAAGAAAGACATTTAGCAGCCTTCTGTCACTGCCTGAACTCTGGATCATTCAGGTTTGAACCATCCAGTCAGGAGCAGCCCGGGGATGTTGAACAGTCAGTAGAACAATGTTCTGTCCATCCCACCACACTATCAGCTCTTGATGCACAATAAATTATAACATAAACACATAGTTATAAACTCATTTGTACTTTTAACTTGGTAATACGGTGTGTTTACGTTTATAATACTAGTTATTGTGCACAATGTAAGTCTATTCTATTTTTTATATAGACCTAATTCTTTTATATACTGTATACATTTTAATGTTTCCTTTTATCTTTTTAGAATGTTTTTATATTGTGATCTGCATATACGTGGGAATTTGCACTCAAGTTTTTCACTCACCTGCATGCTTGGGCTATGTGATGTGACAATAAAACTGAGTTGAATTGAATTGAATTGAATTGAATTGAATTGAATTGAATTGAATTTTGGCAGCTGTAGACCGACCGGTGCTCAAATACTCCTGACTCTTTTGGTAATGTGTCTGTGTGAGAAGTAAGAACAGAGCAGAGAATAAAAATGTCACTGATTCTTTCCAAACAGGAGGGTTGCATGTTGTATTTTTAATAATCCCTCTGTTCTGAACTTACAGGGATCGTTTATGATTCCAGCTAACAGAGCTAAACCAGAACAACACAGACTGTTTGGAAAGATAAATAAAAAAAAAATACAAATCCTCATGAATGGTTTAACAAAGTGTGTGGAAATAGGTGAAACTCACCGGGTGTGTTTTCACTGATCTTCAGCCTGTCCTATCCCAGGGAGGGGTCTGACTGTCAGCTGAAGCTGACTGGTCAGGACAAGGGTCTCCTTTCATAGTCCCACAGCAGAGCAGGCATATATTCATTGTACTTGTAAAGTAGCTTAAGATTAAGAGCAGTGCGTTTCTGATATCCGCTCATTTAGCTGTTTTTCATTTGTTGGTAAGTAGAGGATGTAGACATCACAAGCATCATGTCAGTCATTTCCATCAGATTTACCTTCACATTATCATTTTGTTGACTTGAGCACATCTGCTGCCTCAAAACTTCCCTGCTCGTCTGCCTCCAGCAAAATGAGGACCCAGCAGACTCTGCACGTTCCCACCCCAGTGAGACACAGCCTCGCTTTGACTAAAGTGGCCGGGACCCCCGTTTACCTCAAGCTGGGTTCATCTCAGCCAACGGGATCGTTTAAGATCAGGGGCGTTGGTCACCTCTGTAAAACTGTGAGCAGATTTCACACCAGCTAGTCAAAGGAACCGGAGTGTGAGCTAAGCTTCGTGTTTCCCTGCAGTGGGCAGAGAGAGGATGTGAGCGATTTATCTGCTGTTCAGGTGAAAAAACAAAAACAAACAAACAGTTTGTTGTTTTTTCTTGTTGGTCTGAATGTGAAGTGTTTGATGACTCGGGCCTCCCACAGGAGGAAATGCTGGCATGGCTGCTGCTTATTCTGCACGCCAGCTCGGTGTCCCCACAACCATCGTGGTCCCGAGCGTCACCCCGAACCCAACGGTGGAGAGGCTGAAGGACGAGGGGGCAAAGGTCATCATTCAAGGCAAGGTTGGAGAACTCGTGTGATATTAGTTCTGCTGATCATGGCAGAGTTTAAAAGACCAAACATGTGACTGAAATCAGTCCAATTCATCTGATTATTTGTGACAGATTAATGGAAGCGTGAGATTTATTTTAAGACTAAATGAAACAAAAGGTCAAACCCGTCTCTTTCAGACTCTGAACGACAGCAGTGAACATGGACAGCAGCTTGTAGAAAACAGCCCAGGCTGGATCTTCATCTCTCCCTTTGATGACCCGCTCATATGGTGAGAAGCTAATGTGCAAATATCACTGTGCAGAACTAAAGAACCACCTGCCTTAGTCTTCCAACAGGGGCGGTTCTAGGGGTGGGGCCACAAGGGCATTGGCCCCATCTGAAATCTGATTGGCCCCCTGAAGTGCCCCTGTCCTGTCACTTATCAGTCCTTTGCCCAAGAGTGGCTGCAGTTCTACTTCCTAACAGTAGTGGTGCTAATGAGTCAAATAGGAAAGTCCAACGCTTGCTTCATGTTGGATTTTCCTGTTTGACTCATGGTCTTCAGTTTGAACAATCCTGCAGAAAAAATATTTTAACTGACAACGATGGCTGGATTTTCTCACACCTTGTGTGTTTGAGAGTATTTTATTCATATACAATAAAAAGGCTTGTAAAACTGATAAGGAGAATTTACTGTTCGAGCTTTTACAAGTGTCTGAACACATGTGACTGATTAAATTTATACACCTTACAAAGCCTGGGGATTTGTGTGCAAGCATGTTGAACAAATACTTGGACCCTCTATGATTATTGTAGCCCCTTGAAAAAACCCTAGATCCACCACTGCTTCCACATATAGAGCACTTAGAGATAAAAGCTCGTTCTGAGGGCTTAAGATCATTCAAATCCCAGTCCAACACAACCTAAAAGGAGATTTTAGGCCTCGTGTGTGCTGTAGGTGTGACGAGGCTTCAGTGGGGGGCGTTGAAGCAGCAGCAGGAGGTGACAGGTTGTGCTCCTGTGCTCAGAGAGGGCCACACGTCTCTGGGAGCTGCAGGGTGACCTTAAAGAGAAGCCTGGAGCCGTGGTGGGAGGCGGAGGTTTGCTCAACGGAGTGGTGGAGGGCCTCCGTCGAGCTGACTGGGCTGACGTGCCCGTTGTAGCCATGGAAACAGTGGGAGCGCACAGCCTCAATGCTGCCGTGAAAGCAGGTGAGCTTGTCGCTCTGCCTGCTGTAACAAGGTAAACTGCTCAGCACCTCTTTTTTATTTTTATTGCTATTAAAGCGGCAATATTACGTGTTTCTCAGACATATACAGTATTTAAATACCATAATAAAGTATCTATGTCACCTTTAGCTGTTATTAAAATGCTGTTTTTATGTTTAAATAGAAAATAAACTTATCTTCTCATCACTTCCTCTTCTAAACGACTTGAAATTGGCCTCTGTCTCTTTAAGAACCACCTTCCACTTCTGTCCCGCCCATTTCGGTGGGGTGGGGGGGGGGGGCTATGATGCAGTTTACTTGGCATCTGAAAATACATTTCCTCAAAGGTATTTTGAATCAGAAAAGGGCTGCACTGTGTGAGAAGTAGTTTTAGGAGCTCAGAAGACAGTTTCATTTTCAAGAGTTGTTTGCTTTGTTGCTGCCAAGAGCCTGCAGGAGTCATGGGCGGGGTGTGTGGGGAGGTGTGCCAAGTAGGGGTCTCTGCGGACAAGTGCGGACGAGTGGGCGTGTCACAAGGAAAGGCGATGCTAAAGCGACACACCTGATTTGACGAACTTTGTTAAAGGGACACACCTGACTGGACAAGCAAAAWAGGGGCGATACCGTACGGCACCACCTCATTGGACAAGAACAAAAGGGGCGTTACTGTACGGCACCACTTTTTCTGGAGAACCCTATTTAGGTCACATTTCTCCTGGTGTACCTTAGTGTTGGGGTCAGGGTCAGGCTGTAAAGAGATCAAGCAGGATCTAAGGATACCGTCATGTTGGCCTCGTAGCCCACAGTGTTTATGATTTAGACACGCCCACTCTTGTGACACGCTCACTTTGATTCTGCAGATAACCCCTTCTCAGGTGTGCTGCGTGATGAGGAATCTCAGCTTGGAGACACAGCCCAGAGGAGGAGCTGACCCCAAAAGGAGGTTCTAATCCCAACCAGTCATTTTTGCTCCCCTGCCTGGCTGCCTCAGGACACTACAGGATTTCTCAAAAATACAGTACATGAATGAGTCAAAGCAAGACTCTGGGCATGTTTTTGATGAAAGGCTAACATTATAACATGATATAAAACTCAAAAAAGTTGATTTTACATGATAAAGCCCCTTAAAGGCTTTGGTGACATTTGCTTTGACCTGTGCAGTGTGGCGACCATGCTGGGCCTGGCGAGGGTTTCTGCACAGACCCTGAAACTGGTGGGCGATCATGTAGTTTTGCCTGAAGTTGTCACAGACCAGGAGGCGGTGGAACCCACCTGTGGAGCTGTTCTGGCCGCCGTGTACAGCCACACTATCAAAAGGCTGCAGGAGCAGGGCAAGCTGGCACAGCAGCTGGGCCCCGTGCTTATTGTGGCGTGCGGCAGCAACAACATCAGCATGGAGCAGCTCCAGAGGCTGAAGAAGCAGCTTGGCGTCCTCTAGTGTCACTTGGGGTCCTCCTGACCTTTTCTTTCTTTCTCTCCATCAGCCAGACTCAGACCCTGAAGGCTCTTATTCATCCACAGATCAAATTATTCCAGACTGAATCTCATTATTGAGAAACAGGAGACTACAGGTGCTGGTCATAAAATTAGAATATCATGAAAAAGTAGATTTATTTCAGTAATTCCATTTAAAAAGTGAAACTTGTATATTATATTCATACATTACATACAAACTCATATATTTCAAATGTTTATTTCGTTTAATTTTGATGATTACAAATGACAACAAATGAAAATCTCAAATTCAGCATTTCAGAAAATTAGAATCTTGTGAAAAGGTTCAAAATGGATGGCACCTGGTACCACACTCTAATCAGCTAATTAACTCAAACCACCTGCAAAGGCCTTTAAATGGTCTTTCAGTCTAGTTCTATAGGCTACACAATCATGGGGAAGACTGCTGACTTGACAGTTGTCCAAAAGACGACCATCGACACCTTGCACAAGGAGGGCAAGACACAAAAGGTCATCGCTAAAGAGGCTGGCTGTTCACAGAGCTCTGTGTCCAAGCACATTAATAGAGAGGCGAAGGGAAGGAAAAGATGTGGTTGAAAAAAATGTACAAGCAAGAGAGATAACCGCACCCTGGAGAGGATTGTGAAACAAAACCCATTCAAAAATGTGGGGGAGATTCACAAAGAGTGGACTGCAGCTGGAGTGAGTGCTTCAAGAACCACCACACACAGACGTATGAAAGACATGGGTTTCTGCTGTCGCATTCCTTGTGTCAAGCCACTCTTGAACCACAGACAGCGTCAGAAGCGTCTTGCCTGGGCTACAGAGAAACAGGACTGGACTGCTGATGAGTGGTCCAAAGTCATGTTCTCTGATGAAAGTAAATTTTGCATTTCCTTTGGAAATCAAGGTCCCAGAGTCTGGAGGAAAAGAAGAGAGGCACTTCATCCACGTTGCTTGAAGTCCAGTGTAAAGTTTCCACAGTCAGTGATGGTTTGGGGTGCCATGTCATCTGCTGGTGTTGGTCCATTGTGTTTTCTGAGGTCCAGGGTCAACGCAGCCACATACCAGGAAGTTTTAGAGCACTTCATGCTTCCTGCTGCTGACCAACTTTTTGGAGATGCAGATTTCATTTTCCAACAGGACTTGGCACCTGCACACAGTGCCAAAGCTACCAGTACCTGGTTGAAGGACCATGGTATCCCTGTTCTTAATTGGCCAGCAAACTCTCCTGACCTTAACCCCATAGAAAATCTATGGGGTATTGTGAAGAAGAAGATGCAATACACCAGACCCAACAATTCAGAAGAGCTAAAAGCCACTATTAGAGCAACCTGGGCTATCATAACACCTGAGCAGTGCCACAGACTGATCGACTCCATGCCACGCCGCATTGCTGCAGTAATACAGGCCAAAGGAGCCCCAACTAAATACTGAGTGCTGTACATGCTCATACTTTTCATGTTCATACTTTTCAGTTGGCCAACATTTCTATAAATCCTTTGTTTTTATTGGTCTTCAGTAATATTCTAATTTTCTGATATGCTGAATTTGAGATTTTCATTTGTTGTCATTTGTAATCATCAAAATTTAACGAAATAAACATTTGAAATATATGAGTTTGTATGTAATGTATGAATATAATATACAAGTTTCACTTTTTAAATGGAATTACTGAAATAAATCTACTTTTTCATGATATTCTAATTTTATGACCAGCACCTCTATGTTTGGCTGCGGGGGTTTAGGTAGTTTCTAACCTCAGTTTGAAGGACTTTTTTTTTATTAGAGACTTGCTTTGTAAAAACCTTGGCACTGTTAACCAGCTTTTGCATTTTTAAATGTTCTGTATTTACAGCTAAGTCAATTGTATCCTTCCACCTGTTAATTCTTCATTTCTGTTAAATAAGCTTCAATCACGTCATGCACAACGTACAGTTGCATCCTGTGATGTGATGTGTGAGTTTTTTATGTTGAACAGAAGCAAGAGATTTCTGTAATGAAATAATCAAGTTTGATGTAAAACATGACCTGAAGAGTTTGCTTATGCAATATCAGTCTTTTCACAAAAAACATACACATATGTAGGCCTTTAAGTCAAAAAATCAGATCCACCTCATGTCATCAGTACAGCTTTGGCCCAGTAAGAGTGTAAGCATTATTACCAATAGATTTTCTGTTATCAGAGTGAAGTCCTCTGGCTCTGTTCTATTTGTTAGTCATTCAAAACAGGTTTCAAATTATCACAGCAAAACACTGGATTTGCAACCAAACAGGCACAATGGCAATTATTTTAATCAGTCAGAACGTCCGATATTTTCAAATGGCTGTAAATTACTTATTAACAATCCTATGGGCCATTCTTTGTTTAAAAAATGTGCTTTAATATGGAGTTTACTTTGTTTCAGAAAGATAAAACACTATACTATACAAAGTAAACTCCATACTTTAAACACATTCAGAATAAAAAAAGTGTGAATGCATTTTTTTACCCATAATTTGAGTTAGCAAATAGAACCTGGCATGAATGTTTCTTCTTTGTCCACTTTTTTTTAGTGATTTTTCTTCAAATACTTATGATAAAATGCTAAATACCTGAGTCCACACACTGTGAGTGCTACAGCCGACACAATAATTTATAAAATGGTCAAAGTTTTAGAGCTGTACTCAAGCTTCAGTTGTTTTCTTGTCACATTACATATAGTTTGTAAGATCATCGGGCCGGTCACTACATCTTCATGCTTTTTAAATTATATTTCCAGACTTCTGATAAGGATATGGTCCTTTCATTAGCTGCTCTTTGGACCGGGGAACAACAGAAGCCATAAATGGGGCTTTTATGTAAACAGAGACAGCTGTTTGATCCGATTTTTTAAGACACAAATCAATCTAATCAATACACTTCTGAAATTCTAAAACTAAATATCTAAAAATACATGAAATCTCATAAACAGCACTCATTCTTTGACAGCACTAACAGGTCATGCTTAACTCATCCACCTAGTTTCCTTTGAATAAAGTTCATAACAAAGCTGATGAAACTGAGTGTGATATCAACACGAGCCCTGATCCGGCTGGATCTGGTCCGACCCAGCACTCTCTTCTCGGTAAAGGTGGCCGATTTACAGTCAGCGATGATGTAACCAGACACGGTCAGGAGGTCGCACAGTAAAAGGACGTTCAAAAGATCGAGAACAAAAACAGGCGCCTGAGCTCATTTATCATGAACAATCAGTCATGTTTCACTGCATGAGGAGCAAACTGCTCATTAGTGAAGAAAACAACCAAGAACTGATGTTTGTTTCAGAAAATTTAAAAGCCAAACTAAAATGAATTAACTCCTAATAACACTGTTAAAAATGTACAATAACTAAAAAAATCTGCTCATAAACTTTAAACACAGTTGATGTACATGAAGACATTTCTTTATTATGACACAGAAATTTCAAATGCCATTCAATTCTTTACATCTGTATAATCCATTTTAGATATGTTACTCATGTGCAGAGGTAAGACAGTAAAATTTAAGTTAATGCAACCATAAATAATTGTAATAAATATCAAGTAAATGTACAGCACACATTTCATCGCAACACCTCTTTGTATGGATATGTCCTTTTTGTAACCTTGTGTACCTCCGTCCCCCTTTCTTCTTCTAAGGGGGGAGCGAGTCAAAGAAAGAGCAATCCTGTTAGCAGCGGTTTATCACCCTTCAAAAAAAAACTAATTAAAATTTAAAAAAAAAACAGCAAGAGGCTCAGCAATCTAATCAAACGGTCAACTGATCCAAGTAAAATGGCAATTTTACTCAGACAAGAAAACATTGTGTCACCATGTGTAGAAGAAACTCAATCTGAGTACAAGACGAAGGTGATAAATACAATTTTCCAAAAGTCATAAAAAGTAGCAACACAACAAACTGGATATCCAGCAGACATCGTCTAGTTTGTTCATTTCAGAATCTTTTCATGGAAGAGTAGTGCAAACCAAGAAAATAAAAACAAACCCAAAACCATAAGGTCAAGAGAAGCTAGTAAAAACTGCCATCAAACATTACCTCAGTCTTTTTTTTAATCTAGGTCTTTTTTCCCCCCACACAGCTAAACATTTGGTTACAAGTGAAATAAAAACAAAATCTTTCAGCTTTAAGAAAAATCTGTGGAAAGGCAGAAGTCAGGACTCTCCGCCGCTCTCTCCTCCAGTGTATGAGTCGATTTAATATGATAAATAGATTAACAGGACTTTTTACAAGACTTAAACAGCCTTTCTTCAGAGCCTTTAACAAAATGTGTTCCGTTTAAGCATAAAGTAGTTTGTTCATCAGCAGGTTGTTTTTAAAACAGGCAGTAAAACTACACAGTGTTCCTGCACAGCACTTTGTTCCTGCCTGCTTCTACAGTAGTCGTCAGAATAGGCATCACCACACATCTCTGGTTTGGCTGCGGTCCTACCTTCTCAAGTGTTAGATTATTCTTTCTTATTTTTTTGGTTTTCCTCACACACAAACAGCAAACAGCAGAACCTTCTCTACAGCAAAGGCATGGTTCCGAGGATCATCCCTTAAAAAAAAGGGAGACTACGGAGGGAAGTGGCTCGCTTAAGCATTAGGAGTGGACACGTCTGACTGTCACCTCTGAGGCGACGTCAGCTCCAGCATCTGAGAGAAAAGCTAAATCAGCCAATAAATAAGCAACTGTAAAGTGCCGATGTGAAATATCTGATTGAACTGCTAGATTCACCGACCTGAGCCCCACAAACATTAAAAGGAAGGGAACAGGTGAACCAAAACTTCAACGGCCGTTTTCCTTCAATGAGATCATCAAAACTCTACATGGGACTTTTATTTGTGGCGTCAGTGTCGATTCAGATCACGTTCCCCTGATTTCTCTGACAGAATACTCAAACATGTGTGAAATGCAGAAATTGGGCAATAAAACTTGTAGGCTGTTAAAACTTTAAATGCCACTGAAGATAAAAGTAGGA